TGGTGATTGATCAATGGGCTGGGCCATCCCCCATTCACAGGTCGCCTCTTCGTCAGTAGACCCAAGAAAATCCACCGGCATGGGACAAAAACAAACTGCTCGCTTGCATGTCCGGCTCAGGTGAGTCTGAACCAGAAGTGTCTGAACTTGTGGGTTCAGACATCACTCTGTATGGCGGCCATACCAGCCAAAAGGATTACTTTTTTTCTGGGCACGTCACCATCAATGTACTGACTCCATGTCGATGCTTCAAGCTTCAAGTGATTTCAAGAGGCCAGCCGCCCTCAAGTGGACTGGTGTTCAACTGATTATACTATACCACGCGTACGTACGGCTCATTGGGTGGAGTTCTAGTCATCGCCGTAGCGTCAAACGCTGCTCCGACGCCGCGTAGCACAGCGAGGCCAGCGTTTCGCCGGTCCCGTCGCTGCTCCGTTCGGCGTCGTGGCGAAGGCTGCCGCGTTCGGCGGCCCTGGGGCAATCCAAAGAGGCAAAGAGGATACTGACTCTGAGGTCTATGAAGACACAAAGGTGAAGACCCATTTATATATACATTTAAACTTGATATGAGTGACATGAGATGTATATTATGTGGTGTATTAATGGTATACAAGACCAAACATAGTGAGAAACGCATAGAAACGCCCTCCTAAAAGTGGTTCAACAGGGGTGTTGTTGGCAAGCGTCACGGCTCGTCATGGGGATCACTGATTAGTCGAAAAGGCTTTCCTCCGACCTTGGGCATGTGCCATTCCCAGAAAGACTGATATATAGTTTAATGGTTAGGTTATAGGCCTTTCTACAAAAATGTGATCATCTTTACCGCCTGTTAGTGGTTTACTGAGAAAATGGACCTGTGCCAGGTGAAAGGCACCAATTCTTAGTTAGAAGGTCTCCTCATCAAAACTTACCAACTGGCATCGCCTGCACGGACTTAGATCTTCTAGAGCCAAAGTTCTGAAGAAAACTGTATCCGTATACTGCTTATTACTTACTAAGGAAGCTGATCGAAGTCAGTTTACTGAAGGCTGTGACCTGTTAAGACTTAAGACCTTCTGCCCCCAGACCTCAACCGAAACCAGATTCACCCGAATTAGCAACTAGAAAACCTCCGTGTGTGGCCGTGCCATCACTTCCCAGGAAAACTGCAGGGTTTCAACCCACCAAGCAAAATCCAAACATGCCCCCAACACACCGGCAGAAGCGCCGCACCCGCGGCCATCTCGCCTCAAGACCCTCGCGTGCAGCACCAGCACCACTGCGGCCACCAGCGCCGCCGCCGTCGCGCACGCGGCCAAGCCGCGGCGCAGCGGCGCGGAACGTGGCGACGGGTCAGCGCGGTCCGCGAGGTGGTGGGGTTCCAGTAAGGAGCCGCGCTCGTCCATGGCGGAAGACAGGTCAGTTGTGGGTGCACCTGGCACCCCTGCGGATGTTTTGGGTTTGTCGAACTCCAACAAAAAGCCACTGTGGATTCAGCGAATGCGGAGAAAATGCGACAGTCAGTTTGAGTGGACTGGACCGCCAAAACCAGGGGTCCGGTAATATTCGGTGTCACATGTGATCATCCTCACCAACAACCACGACCAACAAAATGGCTCCTTCCATGCTATAAATGATGTGAGATGTGTGATCTTCACCGGTGCTTCTCAATCTCTGTGATGATCTGCAGCTTTTGACCGACTGTGATCCTGCGACAGCTATCGAGGCGATCGATCGACTCGGCTACTCGCCCCAGCTCAGCTACTCAGCCCCTTTCTCTGCTGATCTATGCGTCGACCCTTCGCGTGGCGGTCGTGTCCGGTGGGCGGAGTGCCACACATGGAGTGTCTGGGAGGTGTTCGGAGGATCCTCCAATGTTTGGAGCCCACCCACACGTACCCAGACACGACTAATGGGACTGCCATAGGACTGCCGATCAGGCCAGGGGTGGTTTTGGGGGTCAATGAAAGCATATATGGCAGTCCCATGGAGTGTCTGGGTTATATCCCTACAAATCCAAGTACATTCTGAGAAGGTGATTAGAGACACTGTTATGTAGGTACCAGGAGGGTCCAAGTACCTTCTGAGAAGGTACGACCGGATCCCTAGGGATAAACTCATTTTGCCGTCCCTTTAACATGTTCACGACCCATTTAACATTTGGATCCTAATACGTTATTCTGGTGGAACTCTTTAGGTCAAACGGTCAAACCTTCCATTCTCCAGCTCCATGAATCTGATGGGCACCCCACTCTAATTAGAGTCCCACCTCACATTCTCCTCACACTGGTTGACGGTCCGAGTGCGTTTGCAGCTTCTCGTCGAGTCTAAACCCCCAACTGAGTGGACTCACGAACCCGCTCCGTCGCCCGTTCGTGTGGCAGCCTTAAGGGCCAAAACCCCCAAAGACGGAAACTCATGCACTCCCTGAGCTCATGTAATGTGGGAAACTCATTAGACCCCTTGGAAGACTGACCATGTGAATGACGAATTACTGCATGTCATATATAACCCCGCCCCGGTCTCATCTTCCGAGGGTTTTCGGCCACAAATCGAACAACAACTGTTCGCACCACTAGGCTAGACTCGTCAGGCATCTCCCCAAATCAGTTCCAGCCTCTTCTGATCCCCCCCAATGAGGGGGGGAACTTGTAGACCATTCCTGAGACCGGTCGGTCGACCGGGATGTGAAGACGAGTCCGGACGAGCTTCCACCAGAGGCCCCGGTGAAGTGAAGGAAGTGTTCCTTCTGAAAAGACTTTTTAACACATGTTTATCACATTATTACATTAATACAGTTTAATTAAGTAGTCTATATGCCAGTAGTTTAATCTGTTAAAATAAACTAAACAACATATTAATCACATTTGTGTAGTCTTTGACTCTTAATCAACTGTGCACTCTATACTAAAGGATGATCGTCTTTGCACTTCGTGGAGGGCGTTAGAAAAAGTCGCCGCCGAAGCCGGTAGCATTCCTACATAAAGCTCGATCCTATAATGACTAGGTCAATGTCACTCAGAAGTTCAAGCCCAAACGCTCCATGGGACTGGAACAGATGCCGCCCCAAACAGACCCCCTGGCACCACCACCACGTGATACGTAGTCCCATGAGTCGCGTCTGGAAAGGACTCCTTGACGAGGCGACGAGGTGATTTCATGTCCGTGTCATCGGCCTCATCTAGTTGAAATGGTCTTCTTCCTACTCCCTCCCCTGTGGAAACACCCAGGTGGAAACCACCGGGGATGAAAGGCTGCTGCTTTCCGGTCTGTGGCCTGAAAGAAACGATGATATTGCTTCATCGCACGCTCAGTTACGGTTCGGTTTTTTCATGCACCCAAGGCGCATGGAAGGGGACAAATAAAACAACATGTCTCTCGTCTTGAAACTGACTTCACTCATGTCCTAAGCCGCAGTTGGAGTCCTAAGCCGCAGTTGGGGCCCTCCTGTCATGCCTGACCCGCGCATGTGCACATCTTGAGGTCCAATGAACCCGTACAGAAGGAGGCAAATCAGACTGTTCGCTTCATTTACTCAGTAAACCCTGGGAGTCCAGTCGACTATAAAAAAGGAAACTTCCTTTACTCCAGCCGGTCAAAATATAGTCGAACTGGACTTCTAGGGTCAATAATTGACCAACTGATCCCCTCCCCTTGGTGCCCACACATCCTCGGTGTCCACGGCACGTTTTTTCGGGTTAAGACCCGGACGCCCGGAGCTGCTTCGAGCCGCCGCGGCGGTTGAGCGCGGGAAGCGCCGCGCCGAGGGAGATGGGAAGACGTGAAGGTCCGGACCCGACACGCAGGGCTTGGACCTTCCTTCTTCCTTCTTCCTTCTCCCTTCTCCCTTCTCGGACGGCAGAATGGGAACCCCAGACCCGAATCAGACCAGACCAGGGCCTCAATTCTGAGGGTGGTTCTTGACTTCATATAACTAAATGCCATGATGCTGCATGACCAACTTCATTGAACTGAGCTTCTGTAAGGGAATGCATCCAAAAAACAAAGGACCTGCTTCAGGCAGGTGAGCAGTTCTATCACCCAGACACGACCCATGGGACTGCCATATATGCCGCCTCATTGACCCCCCTGGCACCACCTGGCCTGATTGGCAGTCCTATGGCAGTCCCAGACACGTCGTGTCTGGGAACATGTGTTCCTCCGGTGTCCGGTGTCGCTTCCACGGAGAAAACCTGGTGAGAGAAACCTGGAGTCTCCACGGAGGTCGGCCTGAGCACAACAAGTGAAGGACTTGAAAAAGGGACCGTCTGAAAAGAGAGGAGTTGAAACAAAGGACCCTTAAGGACTCACTTAAGGACCCATTTTTTAACTGACTGTATACACCGACTGTATGCACTGATATGCACTGATACACAGAATGTGTCACAAACTGACTGTATACACTCCCACCACCCCAAAAAAACACTGATGTGTCACATGGAAGACCATAGAAGTTCCACTAAGCCCCCGTGGTTTTAGAATGTCATGGTCGATGCCAAGGGCCCTTTGAATGGCCCATGGTCCACATCCACATGTCATTTCTCGCATCTTCGGCTCTCAGTACGCATGCTCACATCGTCCTTCGACTATACCGACAAAACCCTGACAATGTTCCCAGACACTCCATGTATGCCATATATATATGCCGATCAATTGGGGTGATTTGAGGGGTCAATGGGGCGGCATAGTGTAGGCAGTCCCATTAGTCATGTATGGGGTTGGGATGTTGGATGGGGGCCTCCAGGAAGGTCGACAGTCCGAACGGCACACCCTGCTTCGATCCGCCCAGCCTAGACCTGGTGACCGTGATCGTCACATGACCGACCTGCCCGACCCACGGATCTGATTTCCTTCGTGGTTCGTAGCGATCAACGGCAGGCACTTTGGCCGTGGGGCACGGGACGTCGAAGGAGACGACCCGACGACCCCGGCGCAAGCGCCGTGGAGGTGAGGTGAAAAAGCACCGTCCTCGCGTTCCAATGAGCTCTTAAGAAGAACACCGAAGGAAAACACCGGTAATTGATCGTATACTATGGGCTTGGATTGGTGCCCCATAGTCAGAGTTTCAAGAAGTTGATGGTGAGAATGTGAGAACTCACTGCTTGAGCTTTTCAGATGGCAGCAAGCTGAAGAGCGACCAAAAGGACCTCTGTCGTTAACGTGGCAAGTCGGGAGGTTTCAACCTTCAGGATGGTTTGGCATCTTTCAGCTCAATGGATTGAAACACACTCTCAGGAAACCCGGGGCTCTGCATAGGATTGGCTTTAAGTCCTTGATAGTCCTTCACGATAGCAATGTGTCAGCGACTCTATATCGGGGGATTGTCTGAATTTCCCAAGTTTAAGAGTGTCCCGATGATTCTATGCAAGCGGTCCACTTTGGTCCGTACTTGCTTGCCCTTATTTGACATCTAATGCTTCAGCCTAGGACATCAGCCACCATATATATACATCAGCATCCCCTTCAAATATCCACGGAGACGATGGAATTCCATTTTGTAACAATGATTTGCGGGGGGCAGAGTTTGGCAAAATAAAATGTAAAGAGCCCGAGAACACTCACTATAGAATGCAATGGCTGAAGAAAAAGGATCATCGAAAAAGAAGGTGAAAAAGTGCACTACAAAATGGAGGGTCTAACCTAAGTTAAGGCTTTCCAAAATTGGTAGACCATAAACCCTGGTTTTGCATTTTGTAGTTTACTCACTGGTGACTGCCAAATTGACAACCAAAGGATGGGCACCGTCATTCTATTTGATAATCTTTGAATATCTTTGATCTCATTTTGCGCCCTAAGAGCCCAAATGGGTCTAACCATGTCCGAACAATTTTACAAAATCTCACATGATGTTACCGAAATCAGGTTACTACAAAATGTGTTTTTACTCAAGTGGCCTCACTACAAAATGACTGGCCTACCCCCCGGGGTGCTTCGAACATGTAACAAAATGTTCTGGTACAAAATGCCAATGGCCGAGACTCTATGTGTGCATTCCCGGGCATTAACCATAACAGGTCTACAAATTGAAAGGCACCATCCCCTCCCAGGTACCCTCAAAATCAACTATGTTCCAGATTTATACTGGCCACATGGCCATCCATTCTGTAGTGGATATTCTACATCAGCCATCATCAGCCTGGAATATGACCCTGCAGGAAAAAGACAACTGCAACAACCTCGGATGGGGCGTGAAACCTACTGGTGCCCGCTGAAGTTAATACATTTTGCATGTGGGATACTAAACCACCATGGAACGCCGATTTGCAAAAGTCAGTACTGAAGTCAAGACTGCTGGCCTTCCCCATTGTAAACGCTACATACAGAACAATGTTCTCCAGATTCACCTTTCCAAAAAGAGAAAACTTCAACTGCAAATCCCAATGGCAACGCAATTTGGAGAGCTACCCGACGTGGTAACTTACCCCATCGCACATGAACTTGACCCACCCGCATGGCACACCGCTTACCCCACGAATGTAAGAACTTACCCCCTTTTGGACAAAATGGCACACCGCTTCGAAACAAGCACTTGTTCTCCTAGATTGTTTCTAAACCTACACTATTCCATTCCGGTTCAACCTTCTACATGTTAATGTTTTCAATTGTTATCTATGGGCTGCCGTGATCCAATCCCCATGGCACCCCGATTCTGACCCACATGTTGGTACCAGCTTTAAGTTTCTACCTGGAGTGCAAACAGCATGGAATTGTTCTTTAAACATCAAAAATATCTATGCATTCGTATTCCTCTCCCAATCCCCATGGCACACCGCTTCGAAACAAGCACTTTTTCTCCTAGCCTAGATTGTTTCTAAACCTACACCATTCCATTGCGATTCAATCTTCTACACGTTGATGGGTTCTAAGGTTTGCTATGGGCTGAAATGATCCAACCCCCATGGCACACCGATTCTCATCCACAACCACCCAGACATGAAAGTCCTTGCAAAGCAGTTGCGGCAAGCAAATCACACTGTGACACCACACCACGACTAAGTCACGGCAGAGTCACTTAGTTTTCGCATGGGACACCGCGTTTCACCAAACAGGCCATCTAAGCCAAAACCATGCTTCCCAAGCCCAGTTTACAACCGGACACTGCCACAATGATAGGGTTTGCGCAACAACAGCCAGCAGCAAATGAGTAGGCTTTGTAGCGCAGGCAGCGGCAGCGGCAGCAGCAAGCAGCAGCCAACCAGCAGCAAAACAACACCAACAACCCAACAGCAGCAGAAGGTAACCAGCAGCGGCCAAACAGCAGCAGCAAGCCGGCAGCAGCAAACCAGCAGCAGCCAAACAGCAGGCAGCACCAAGCCAGCAGCAGCTAACCAGCAGTCCAGCGCCAGCAAACCAGCAGCAACCGGCAGCAGCCGACCACCAGCAGCAAAACAGCGCAGCGCAGCAGCAGCAGGAGCAGCTCCCAACCAGCAGAGGCTAGAAACCACATCATCCCATGGCACACCGTTTCACCAATCCCACATCACAGGAGCAAATCCCACATTATCCCCATGGCACATCGGCTTCCGATCTCTGCCAGAAGTATGCTAAGACCACGAAAAAACCATGGTTAGCTTGCGTTTTGCCTTCTTTGGTGTCTGTGTGTGTGCGCGTTCCCGTCTTTCAACGACTGTGCAGGACACACTTCCGCATGGCACACTTGCGAAAAATGTGATGCAAATCGCTCCTTGCCTGGGGGGCCATGTAAATTGAAGAGGCCTTTGCTTATATGGCAATCCCCATCGCACACCTCTGGAGGTCCTGGTGCCTGGTGGGTTGGGCGAGATAGAGGGCGAGGTATTGGGCGAGATGAACACGTTTGCCCAGAAGACCCATGCCCAGTAACACCCAAACACCTTGCGATACTGGTTTCCGCATGGGGCACCGCGTTTCACCAAACAGGCCTGCCACCAAGCTTGATATCACGTTTCCAATGCCCAGTCTGCAATGGAAGAAGCCTGCTATAATCATAGGGCGTGCAAGACAATGACAGACAGCAAATGAGTAGGCCTTGTAGCCCAGGCCGCAGCAGCGGCAACGACAAGCAGGCAAGCAGCAAGCAGCAGCACCAGCAGCAACCAAGCAGCAAGCAGCAGCACCGGCAGCAATCAGCCAGCAGCAGCAGCAGCAGCGAACCGCCAGCAGCAGCAGTAGCCAACCAGCAGCAGCAAGGCAGCAGCAGCAGAAAACCAGCAGCAGACCGGCAGCACCAGCGAAGGTAGCCCAATGAAGCTTTCTCCCAAGGGCACACCTCACCTGGCACAAGTTCATGCCACTCAATAGTGTGCCCGCTTCACTGCGGAAGCCAGGTTTCCACGAGGACCCTGCTTCCGAGGGTTGGCCCTATAAGCCCTTGGAGGGTTGGACATATGAGACCCACAATCCCGAGATGAAGGGGAACCTATGGGCTGCCTATAGAAACCTCTAGAAACAACCTATGGGTTGCCCGCCAACTTCCTTGCGGTAGGTCTTGTGCAATCAAAACACTGTGAACGCTGAGTAAAACAAGCCCATTGAATAAAACCATGCATTTAGAAAACATCTTCCAAAACACTCTATCCTGCAAGGAAACGCTATAGTGTATCGACTTCCTGGTTTGCTCATCACCTTCTATCTGCTATTTGAAAAAGAAACACGTCTCGACTTCAACAACTGGCAGTATCAAGTTCCCCGGTGCTTGGGGCAAACAAATCACTGTGAAGGTGACACTCTCCACCGCTCGGCCCACTTCTGCAAGTCAGTTCGGTCATGTCGTTGGACCACCTACAGTAACTGCCACGATCATGTCGTACTGTCCGACATGAGCTGCTCCGGCCTCGCCAAAAAATCGCTGCTCCGCGACGGGTCCCAGACAGCGAAGATCGGGTGCTGCCGAGCGGCCCCAAGATGAGGAGCGCCGTGAAGTCCGACGTGAGCATCAGCGGCAGAAACTCCATCCGCCCGCGGAAGAGCCAAGCATGGCCCCCTTAAACATCAGGTGGCGGATCGGGGCGCTGGTCAGCTCTGACTGAAGCCTTCCTCCCCGTGTTTGGAAGCGTGGCGTTCGTTGATCGTTTCCAAGATGATCATGATCAATCATGAATTGTGTATACATATAGGGCCCACACTTAAAAAAAAAAAAAATGTGATGAATTCTCGTTTGTATTGCACCATATTACATGGAACGTTTGGGTTATTGTGATTTCAGAACTACCCTCAGCACCATATCAGTGGCGAGGGTAGTTGTGGTGTCACAAAGGTTGAACAACTTTAAGGCCTCTCCGGATATTCAACCTTAAGGTCCAATACATCTGCTCCATCTTCGAAGCTGTGAGCTTTGTTGGCCACACCGTCCGGTTTCCGCGTGCAACTGTGGCATGGATGGAAGAACAACAACTGTGGCATTCACACATGCATGCAGCCCAGAGCATCTCGTAGATCAACCTGCCCTCTTCACCTCCTCATGCCAGGACCATCCTCATCGGGTGTCCTCTCCAGGTCGACCCTTTGACAAAGGGAGGTATACCTGGGCCCAGGCCAAGTGGCCGGCATCTCTGAAGATCCCCAGCACTCCATAGGCCAAAGCCACCAAAGGCCACAGTGATGCGCTGAACGGCCACAGCGAGCGCAGAATTCCTCCCGCCACCGTCGTGAGCCCCAATGGAACTTCTGTGGGCGGATGCCCCAGCAACCTGATCAGTGAGCTGCGATGCGAGCTGCTGCGAGGTCGGGTGGTTGAAGTGTTCGCCCTAGAGCTCCAACCACCAGAAGCGAGCAAAGGGCATCGCCACGAACGGAGCAAGGAAGCTACTAGTAGCTCCTGGCCTTACTACTAGTAACAAGATGTAACAAGAAGCTCCAACCACATGTTTGAGGTGGTTGGGGTTAGGACTTCTGAGGATTTGGTGGGAGCCCTGTCGGGTGCTTCTCTTTCACTTGACGTTTGACTATGACTCCATGAGCCCCCCCTTAACTACTCTTGGCATTGGCAAAAGGAGTTTGTGGGATTTGAGCCAGGAGTTCTGGGGTGAGTAAAGGTATCTTGCAACTATAGCGCACGAACCCTGCCTATAGTTGAGGATATCTAGCGGACCTGGCTGTTGGTGTGATACAGTGCACCGGTCTCACCATATATGAAGTGTGAAGTCATGGACAGGCGCCATCCCTGCTACTATATAAATATTGATGGCAATTTAGGCCTACCAAAAGAGTTGAAACTGAGAACATCAAGTTACCTGCGATATCCAGCGACAATTCAAGATTCTGATTCACACAGAGCAATCTTCAAAAGAATTCAAGAGGCACATCAATTTGGAGAGATACCATTGTGAAGGCCAACCAGGAGCTTCTTGAACTGACTATATATGAATGATTCTTGTTCTTGGATGCTAGGGATGAACAAAGAGATAGATAATTTGGGTCTGTCCTATTACCAGTAGCAGTGGATGATGGTGGTTAGTAAAGGCCTTTCTCTGAAATAGTGATAGTTGTTTGCCGACTGTTCCTGGCAATAGGACAAACCCGATATATAATGATATTCTAACACTACATAATATCAAAAAGAACAACACCATGCGTCGGAGCCCTTCTTGGAGTGCTCACCAAGAAACAGCCAGTTTTCCACCAGAAGCCCGGCCAGAAAAAGAATCCATTTCACGATCGTCTCCTGGAGGCGGCGCAGAAGAAGGGTTAGCCAGTTCAATCACATCTGACTGTGCATCTGTTCGTTCGTCTATGAGTGTGACACTCGGTGTGTATTAAAAAGGAAGACCTCCCAAAGACATCCCATGGAAGAAGAGAAGATAGACTAAAAACCATTGGTTGGGGTGACTCCCTATTAGCTCGGAATGGGAAACTGCTCCAAGTGTGGAGCTGGAGCCATGCCATTCACCAACGGATGCGCGGCATGCGCGGCCATGTCATTCAGCATCGGGTCCTGTTTTCTTATGATGTCAAGGGGGCAGCCGGTCCAAACAAACTCAGATTCGCAGCCGCAAAAAGAATGGAAAATTAGAAGGAAGTCCACATCTACACAAACCAACAAACACATGAACCTATACCAATGAAACCAGAATGCATGAATATTTGTATGTAACAATATGTACAGTAACAATTAGTTCCAGAAGCTCTTTCCACACGCTCTCTTCTCCCCTTCTCCTTGCTCTCCAACGGCAGCAGCGGCATCACCGAGAAGCTCCCCGCCGTCGACAGCGCCACAGCCAGCCGCCGCATCCGGCGCCGCCGGGGGTTCGCGCGGTCGGCGCCGGAGGGGGCGAAGGCCAAGAGGGGGATGGTCACCATGAGAATCGCCTGCCGATTCGGACCACCGGGTCGGGCAGAGTTGGGCAGAAGGAGGAGCCAGACTGCTGGGGGTTCTGCGCCAGACTTGCGGAGAACACGTGGGTGAGAATGGATTGGAGATGGGTGTGAGTGTTCGAGGTGTGTGTGTTCTATTTGGTTTCTAGGAGGTTTGGAGTTTGGAGTGGGTGTGACATGAAATTTCCTGAGTGGAGAATGGCTACCGGCTGCAACTATAGGGGCGATGATTTTTGACCCGAATCATGGTTCTGGCGAGTTTGTATGCGAGGGATGCCTGGATGGCATTTCGCGGGGGAGTCTTACTGGACTATACTGGACTTACCACTTCAAAGTGTGCCACTCTCCGAGGTGGAGAATGAGCTATACCCCACCATGTTTCAGTATCCGACCCCCTTCAGCTTTCCTTCGGATAGAGGTGCTCTCACATTAATGTATGCAAGAGAAGTGAAGCGAATTCGCCATGGCGAGTTGCCACGTCGACCCCCATCAAAATAAGCTAGCCACTTTCTCAATGGGGCACTCGGGTCCTATCGCTCTACCAGCCACCCCCCCCCAAACCCCAAAGCCCCCGATGTAGGCACTTGGGGTGACGAAGCCGGACTATAAGTACCGCACGGAAGTCGCTGGTCACCAGCTACAGCCAGTTGAACAGTCCCCTTCACCGGTAATGAATCAACAAACAAACCCTTTTGGCCTCCAACTACCCTCCTTTTCGAAGATGGTTGGGAAACGCCGGTGGAATTGGATTCATCCGGACATTGGGTGACCATCTCGCCCGACCGCCAACGCAGCCCCTGAAACGCAGCCCCAAACGTTCCACAGACTGCACAGGGCGAAAGACCCGCGCACGTGACACGAAGCGGTCAACGCGCACGTGACACGGGACCTTCTCATGCACGTGCCATCCAAAGCTGAAGGCCACTGCTGAACCCAGCGCCACGTAGAGAGACAAGCTCCCGCGCTCGGGCGCCTGGAAGCTCGGGCGCGGACCGGGCAGGCTCGAGCCGGTGGGTGAGAAAGAAGCAAGGTGCTGAATACCAAAGGAACAAGCTCTCCATGAAATGTAGGGATCTTGAGTGATTAGTTGGGTGATTGGCAAGTAGCTAGACGTTCTTCATCTTTCTTCTTAGGCCCTCCAAAACGATGATTTTGACAGAGTCAGAGTCTTTGGCAACTCTTAGTGGAGCAGAGACCTGCTGGTTCTGCCTACCCAAGGCTTCCTAGCCCACGGTTGGTGTTCTTGCCTACCCCAACCAATCATGAACACCAGTACAACACAACCAGGCCAGTCTTGCAAGGCTGGGGTGCCAGGACACCCAGCCTAAGGGGCTTCCATTGATAGCCAGAGGTTAAGGGTGATACACCCATCAACCACCCCGACCGGGTCCGGGTCCTGGTATTACATGGAATCACTGAGCTGACCTGATTCTTTTAAGGGAGAAAGCTGAAGCACATGACACCCTGATTGTGAGGATACCTTACTTCTACACCCGGCAAGAACACTTCACTCACCTGTTCAGACTGATGCGACCCCACCGTCCAGCAACCCCACCGCATGCGTTTGGTGGTGTCTTCACCGCCCTGGGACCAACCCCCACGGCCTGCCAAATGGCGCGCAGCAGCGGGAGATAAGCCAGAAGCGTCCTTGGAACATCTCTTAAGAACATGTATGCCCCAAACGAACAAAGCTCTCTAAATGGGTGCAACCGTTCCCGTAATTATATATTTTTATAACTTGGAGAGAGTATTTGGATGATGATGAGGATGAGGATGAGGATGAGGATGATGATGATGATGATGAGGATGATGGTGATGAATGATGAGGATGTCGTCCAGGAATATTATGCTGGGGCCACTGTAATTCGTCCACGGCTTCCTCATCGACGCCGCGTGGAAGCCAAACAACACCTCTCGGCCGTCCGGAGGTCTCCTGGACCCTGCCGAGAAAGAACAGGAAACTGCCTAAGCAATGGAATGAACTCGAATGCATGGCGTCCCAACAGTGTAACTCAAACACATGCTCAACATGCCCCCGGTTGAGAGAGAGAGAGAGAGATTGATTGATTGATTGCACCAACCTTGGAACCTTTCGATCCACTCTGCCCTGGGGGGACTTCGACTGCCCTGGGGGAATCAATGCCGCAGGCATGGCCGGTGCTTTCCGCACCAAGATCGGGCCAGGTCTCAAAGCGAAGGTGGCCTTGGGCGGCACGGACCACAGCACCGCACTCTCGTAGACCTGCGCCACACACGCGGGACAGCGTGAGGTGGCCATGAGTTCGGTTCGTGGGGGACGTGTTTTTGGTACGTGTGAGGAAGTGCTGCGCAGTGTGGATGGTACGTATAGAACACGTCCAAAAAGCTGAACCTCCGGAGGCCGCGCCTCCGCGAAGCCGGCCGTGGAGCCGGAGGCTCCCGACCGGCGGAGCGCCTGCGTCACGACGGGTGTGGCAAAGCGTCACAGCGGATGTGGCATGCAATGAGCAGCCTAAGCCATTGTGGTCGTACAGACTTACAGGACCATCTTTTGGGATAGAGACATGATAGAAACATGCGCGTAAAATCTGCTGGGTGCAACTCCCGCGGGTGGAACGCACAATAATTCGATGGTATTTTAGGTTCATCGTTGTGATACTGTTTGGATGTTAAATCCTTGCTGTTGCAGCGGACCTCGCTGATGATTTGTCCTCAGCTCCAGCTGTTGACAGGTGAAGGATCTGGGACCGCTTGAAAGTGTTCATCTAGTGTTTGCTCCTTTATTCAAAGCACTTCCAAAAGCCTTGGATGAACCATTCAGCTCTGACATTCAGCTCCTGTACTTGCGGCTCGCCCGGATCCTAAACGTACCGAGGAGCTCCGGGTCAGGGACGGTGATGCCCATGAAATCACTCCGCATGGTGCCTTTTGTATGAAATCGCTTCTGAAACCATGACTTTCAGGCTGACTTTGGGTGCTGCGAATGGAGAACGTCCCAATTCAAAGAGCTGTGGCTGCTATCCAGTTCATCCAACATCAGCATGCCTGTCGAATACGGATCCACGAGATGCCTTCGCCAGCACACGGTCCACGGTGTTGTACAAGGCCCAGCAGTTCCTCCAGCCGTTTCAGGTCTGCAGCTGCTTGGGAGCTCTGAATTACTCTCCCTCCAAGAAATGGATATTATTGCTTGTTAGTAGAGGATCACGATCTTCCAGTGGCCACAGTCCACCAAAAAAACACATACTGTACGTAGCAGATTCAGTATGATTCAGTGGTTTTCGGAAAGGGTACAGGTATCAGTATCTGGGATGAATTCGCCGGGTAAATCCGAATCCTTGGAGAGTTCAGCCTAAAAATAGACAACTCATTAGTTTGGATCCTGACGTGGTTGGTCTGACTTCAGGGTTCAAAGTTGGTCATCTTCAACATAGATCATTGGATGGGCAAGGCCAGTATAGTCATTAAATTATATATGTGAAAGCGTGTGGTTTCCCCAAAATGCCCAGTCCAATGCTGATCACACAGCAAACCCACATGTCCAGTTGCTGGCAACCGCACGACGGAGTTTGGGATTGCTTTGCCAGCCAGGTGCAAGCTCGAAAAATGCTATCAGTATCAATTTCCGAAGTCCAACAAAACTGCACTAGCTCTCACTATCTTTACGCCCTGGAAGAAATCCCCAGCCCTGGTCGACCCAACTGCCATCTCCGCCCAAATCGGTGCAAAAACCCAGGCTCGGTGCCCAGTAGGCGTGCGTCAAACCGCGGCCAAAGGGGAACAAACGCTTCAGGAGCTGTGGCATCTGCACTGGTGACAAGAAGGGCGCCAGGAGCACCTGGAGGTCGTGCGACACGCCAAAAAGGACATTGGCAAGGGACGTGGGGTAATCAAATGGGCCAATGGATGCCATTGGGAGTGGATGCATCGAGACTAATTACATCCTAGGAAATTTCATCTAAACTAACTTGGGAACCTGTACACCCAAGCTGTTTGTCATGCCAAGCTCTTTTCAAACTCCCATCTGCAGGCACCACTGACAGGTAGCCCACATGGCCTGTTGTACCGTTGTACCATGTTGTACCACTACTGGTCCAGCACCTCTTACGGTTTTCGCACAGTAGCCCTCCTTTTTCATGAGGCAACCAAGTTGGGCAACATTATGCGACATACGTTTTTGTATATGGTCCCAGATTGCCCGCCTCCAAACTCCTTGATCTCTCCCCGATCTCATGTGGCCAGTTTTTGGTCCCAGGCTTACAGTGCTTGTCGCTCTGCCTATAAGGATGGCACCCAATTCAGACCAACGACAAAAACAAGATTTCGTGTTGCGACGTTCCCGAAAGAAGTACGCTCGCATCTTTTTCTGCTTTCAATCATTCCGCTCTTGGCGGCGGTAGATCCACTGGTGAACTCTACTGCACAGCCTGGCATGCTTCGTCCTTTGACTTTGGCATGCTTCGCCCACTGACTCTTCACATGCTTGACGTGTTTCACAGCCACGCAAGCCTGAGCGGACTATCTCTGCACATTCTTGTGCCGGCCGAGCGCCAGCTGCAACGAGTGTCCAATCAGCTGGGGCCACAATCACACACAAAGCCACAAACAATGAAACCTGCCAACCTCTTGTTTGCGTCCAAGTGGGCATCATGCGACCCGGCCGCAGGGGCAGGTGGAGTCACTGGTGACGCCGTCCCTCGCTCCAAGCTCTCCATGCTGCTGCGGTGTTCATGACGTACTGTGGCGCAGTTCACATAAAGTAACGAAGGCACGAACGAATGTCACTTGTCCCCTCCCGCTTCCCCACATGTAACATCAACATCAAGAGTCACATCAACATGTTGGCCAACAAACATGAAAACACCGATAAACACCGTATGTTGGTCAACAAGTGTGACAGAAACACATTCAACACAGAAAATCAACGCCTCCGGGGGAGCCCGTATGGCCGCGACGCCCAAAACACGGGTCACGAGCGAACTCAAGCGGATTCCCGTAGTCAGCGTAGTCAGCACCCAGCCTGCAGATTTGCCCGCAAACCTTCAGTGTACTGGGTTGGCAGCACACCCCAAACAGAATGTGCTTTGATGTATTCGATGGTTTCGGGATGTTTTGGCGCGCTGCTTGCGCTCGTGCGCTCGTCGAACGAGCTGCACTGGTGCCCTTAGCCACCGGGTCCTGGTTCTTTCTACAGTCGCCTGATGGCTTCAGTCGGGCGACAGTCGCCTCGTAGCTTCTTCTTTGCTACAGCTTTCTGACCTGAAAGGGTGACTTGAGCTTCCAGTTGGCAATCTCTTGCTCCTTTGCCGCTTCGTTGGCCAAGTCTAGACGATCCTTATGGTTCAAGGATAAGGACCTGTCGCGGCTTGACTGCCGCTGTACCGCTCTGACGGCGGTTTGCCTGGCTGCTGAGCACAACCTCAATGGGCTTCTTGACCACAGGCGCACTGGCGAGCGCCCACGGCTCTTGGGAGATTCTTCTTCCTCCTCCTCTTTTGGCCCTTCTTCCTCAAAATCCCTTTTGGCCGTTCTTCGAATTATGCCGCACGCGGTGAAAGAGCTCCTCCTCACGCTTTGGATCATAGAGCTGGGGTCAGGAAGGGTTGAGGCCCAGGACCTCTTCACAATGGCCCTGCACAATTGGGCTGAAACTTGAAAGTTACTAAGGCCTTAGTAGGTTCAAGCCTTTTTTTGAGGGGGTGTGCCGCACAAGGGAGGTAGCACTAGAACTGTTATACCATTAGCTTTCGTGCCTACATTGGGGTGGTTTGGGGAGTCAATGTAGACATATATTCCAGTCCCATGGAGTGTATGGGTAAAATGGAGTTTGCGGCTTTGAGCAATGACATCCTCAGTGCTCTGGAGTCCTTTGACCATCTGAGCAGGAACCATTGACAAGTGTTCAAAGCTGGCACGGCAAGACAGCTTGGAACCAAATGGCTTGAGCCATCCATGTGGCCGCCGATCTCATGTGGCCGCCCACATGAACCAATTCCAAGCAATTCGGGCGAGTTCATCATCGAACACGAACTCAATCGGAGAGTTGGCCCCGGAAACCATGTCCCGCCACTCCGCTCCACCGTTGTCTCCGCCCAAGCGTCGAGGAAGCTTCCGAGCACCACCAAGCCCAAGCGCAGCAGGCGCCCGAAGCGTAAGCGGAAGGGCCAGAAACTCATGTCGCAGTGGAAGCGCAAGAGGTAGACGAAGAAGACCGGCGAGACGTAAAGGAAAATGTGCCTCAATCAGACTGTAGCTCGGCAAGTGACGTCGGTGTTCACACCAGAGTTACGAAGCATGAACATGTTTCATGTCTATATATGTGTTGATGACTGAAGGGCAAACGAGTGGTTCAAATTGTTGTTACAACCATGGTCAGCAGCCTCGAGCAAGGCATTCTAAGGCCCTTAGTTTCACAGGACCAGCTGCAGTGGTTTCAGAGTCGCGATCGGACTTTTAAAAGGTGGCGAACAGGGTCCAAATATTTCAATTAAGGAGTGTTTACCAGGAGTCACTGATCCACTCACTTAGGGGCTAAACACCACCCCTTTGTGACCCCTGGTAGGCATCTTTAGGCATTTACCCTCATATCTCTCTCAGATCCACGTTGGCATAACACTGACGGCCCGGCCCATGCTGTGGGTCATCCACGTCACTCGTGGGTCGAAACAGCCTGGGACGTCGGGACCTCGGTGGTTGATCCTTGATCCAAACAGGACCGCCATCTGGGACTGACGACTCCCGAATCAGGCCACGGGGTGAGGTGTTTTTCATACCCATCCACTCCATGGGACTGCCATATATACATTGGGCTGGCGCCAGGGGGATCAATGGGACGGCAGTCCTATGCCAGCCCCATGGAGTGTATGGGATACGGACACCGACCGCCTCACGCCACGGTGGTGTTTCTCCCGGAGATTCGTCCGACCGTTAACGTTGCAAGTCTCTTCATGCACAGCAGCAAGCAAAAGAGCACCGCGCCCAAATAGGTCCGTTGCCGCTCGATGGCAGCGATCGACAAAAGCAGCAAACCCAAGAGCATGCCGTTGTACTGGAAGTGCCTCAGGGTACTGGAGCAGCCTGGCTCACCAGCCCAACATGAAGAGAGTTTTGCACCGAAACAAGGGTTTGGGGCGCGTACTTTCTTAGCATTGACCATCCCAGCCACATGGCTCGATCAAACAGTCGTCAAGGTCACGTCTAATGGCACGAGCGAACCCCGAGCTGGGGACAATCTGGCTTAAACAAAGTGCGCCATACCAGGACCCTCCAAGGGGTGTCTATGTATAGCCCCTTAGCTGTTAAGGGGTGTGCATTAACCACCTGCTGGAAGGTCCTGGTAGGTGTCAGTTCATTCCCACTTCGAATTAACATTTCGCCGTCGTGCATGCCTGATTGGAACACCTGTCACCTGAGATCGATATCCCAAGGGCCACTACTCAGACTGTCCTGACTGGCCTCCAGCCCCTCGGATATCACCGCCATCCCAAACGAAAATAAAACCATCTGCTGCTGATTTGCGACCGTCCCTGAAACCCAGTCTAACAAACATGTTGCCACAGATCGCCCCATCCAAGGCACACATGATCGACCATCAGCAATGTGGAGTTCCAAAGGACTAAGACCTGATCAGACTGGGACGGTCAGGACACAGGCGAAACGATCAGTAAGGGTTCAAAACAATGGTCATGTGAATGTGCTGCCCAAAGAGGGGAGCATATTCACATTAGGCATAAGATTTTGGATGGTTCTGCCAAGCCAATCTTGACTTCCAAGTAGTTCCAGGTATTCACGGTGCAGCTTGATCCAGGTCGCTCACTTTTCCTGGATATCTATCTTCCACCGGCATTCATCCAGGCCACGCCTGGAATACATGTTGCACACCACATGTCCCACGTTCCACGTGGTTCCACGCCCCGTTGGCGTGGAAAACGCCCCGTTCCACGCCCCAGTTCCACGACCGACCAGCATCGCGGCCCGTGGAGGCCGGAATCCCATCCGCGACCGAACGGAGCGAGGACGGTTCGGAGACGAGCGAAGTGACCGAGACACCACCGAGGTCATGCCACCCACGCTGAAGGCGCCCAAGGCTAGCAATGCATCACCCAAAATCACCTCGTCCCGGAAGTGACGGACATGGGCGGACGCTGTTTCTGGGCGGTCGTGGGGCACGTGCAAACAAGTCCCAGCAATCAGGCTTAAGGACACTGGGAGATGGTCTTAATTTGAACTATCTAGACATCAACTGACATATGTTCAACAAAGACGACCTGAAGTCATGAGTCCTTAGATATGACCGGCACGTTTTGAACAAAGCCTTTGGATGTACCAAACACTACTTCAACATGCTCTCCTGTACGAAACATTACGAAACTGGCTCTCCTGTCGAAACTGGCTATATAAATGATCATGGTCATCATGGTCATCTCAACCAATGATCTTTATTTCGGGAAAGTATATAGAAGCCTATATACTATATATATATAATTATTAGTTGTTCCCTTTGGTGCATCCCCTCCTTCAATCAACCCAGATCAACCAACCCAAACACTCCACGGGACTGGAATCTTCCCCTACCTCGGGGCGGCGGCTTAATTCAGGGTCCACTGAGGCTTGGATGGTTGGCAATCTGCCCCATGCCAGTCCCCCATGATGCGATGCACTCGGGTGGTAGACCAAACAGACTCAGGTAGACCAAACGGTCCACCTGTTTGTGCTCCGTAGCGTCCAAGAACGCGACGTTCGTCACGGCATCGCGGCATTGGAGCGTTGGGGACGCTACGAACGGGGCGCTAGTAGAACGGGGCGCGTACTCATATATACCAAGGGCATCGCTACGTTCGTAACAAAGACACCTGAGAACCACGGAAGTGAACCGTTTCAAAGGTTGCGGTCAAGCACTCCTTGGATATTTTTATGCCAAGGGATGCCAAGGGTATTACCACAATGTCTTCCACCAGTTCCCCTGCAGTTTTCGTCCAGTGTTGAGCTTCGTTGTCGGAACCGAGGGCAGAAACTTCTCTCACAATGAGTTCTTAGGAAAGTTCTTCCTTACCAGGATCATCCTGTCTGGGTGTCCAATAGACTACCCTATCCTACTTGCAGGTCACCATTGCGCACCCGTTAGAAGTGCTAGGTATAGGGGTATCCACCACCGCCTCCAAGTGTCGACCCTTCTCTCACTTCATGAACAATCCTTCGCAAGTGAGGTCCCAGTCGCACTTCATTTCACTTGCACTGCATTCAACCTACCAATCCATGAACCTCGAACCGAAGTCAGCGTTTTCCAATACCAGCACTAGTCTTTGAGAGGCCTCAAGTCTTCAGCCATCCACACTAAAACCATCAACGTCGACACGTCAAACCCCACGTCCGTTTCCCTGCAGGGTACCGTGATGCGCTGGAAAAGAACCTCGCTCCGTGGGAGAAACGGAGCAATCGGACTTCAGCGCCCGCCGGACCAGCGAAAAGCGAGCAGTTCTAAGCTGCAGATCGAAAACTACCTGGTTCACCCGTCTGGTGCCGTCCGGTGCCACTAGACAGGTCGGGTCTGAAGAAACCGCCCATCCCCGGTGCTGGTATGAGCTTCCAGGAGGTTCCAGAGGGAGTTAGGTGCCCCCAGCATCCGTTTGGTCAAGGGAGGCGGAGGATTGGGGCGCCCCGAGAGATTCCACATCCCAAAAGCCATCCACTCACTGATTCTGGGGACTGAACCATGTGTTTTGGGATTTGTGTTTAAGTTTCAGGCCCATCTCGATGGTACGAACCTGCTTTAGATCCCAGTTGCTGGGCCCAACTGGGCCCCAACAAGATGGCGCTGGGGAAGCGAAATCACCAGAAGAACTGATTGGAACATGGACTCGAAACCATTCAGGTTGGTTTGGGAACCAAATTGGAACAGGAAACAGGACACCCGGGTGTCACAAGGTAATGCTTCCAGCTAGGAAACCTCTCACCCAAGAAGCTTGCAGGTGGAAACAACATGAAACAAACTCACCATACAAAGCAAAAAAACATGAGCTTTCAGGGGGTCTTGTGAACTGATTACAAAGGAGTGGTTGGCATGTTTCGACTCGTTCCATGTTCGTTCGTTTGGGAGAGAACCGTCCGAGCTTCCTAGAGAGGAAGCTTGCGCTGGAGGAGCTTCCGCAACCCTTGCGGAGCCGGGACCCCGGGAGCCCGGAGCCCGGAGCAGCCGGAGGTGTTCCGTTCGTTTGGACCTCTTTCAGTCCCAGTCCAACCCAGTGAGTCCCAGTCCAACCCAGTGGACCCCAGGCATACCACGAACCAGGGGCCCTCGTTGGGTCGAACTGGTTTGGTCGTCGAACTGGAACCACTGGGACTGCCGACCTCGTGCGAACTGCCTGCCTGGATGCCCTGTCGAACGGTGTCCAAGACATGGCAACTGGTGTGCAAGACAACGTCTCCGCGTCCCGCGCAGGTCCAATGACTCAATCCGAGTCTCAGTAGCTTCACCTCAACGGCATGGCATGCATGGCTGCCTATGGGGGCCCTAGTCACCAGTCACTGGCATCTCAACTCCCTTAAGGAAGGATATAGTGACATAGTATTATATGAAAGGAAGGAAATCTCATATAGATATCTCAATTGTGACTTTGTAATTTTAGATTGGCTTGAACGGAAAGTATGTGGTTGGCTGCCAAGATCAAATTATAAGACAACGGATTCGATTGATTCACCCGCAACTTGTCTTGTGCCCAGTACGTGGCTACGACGTTGTTCTTAAAAAAACAAACAAAACATGGGGAATTTTCTCAGTCTCAATCAACTTGGCCTGGTTCATGATCCATTGATGGTACCGTAATTGGCTCATCTAGCTACTTGGCCAAGTGGCAACATCACAACGCGTCCCTACCTTCGGTCGCACGTGTCCAGCGTATTTTACCCCGAAAAGGGGGGGTCAGAAGGGCGAACTCGAGGGGCCGCTGTGGCACCCGAAGCAAGTGCACCAGTCTACCCATGAATGAAAACGGTTGGTTCATAAAGCCTTTTCCATATCGGAGATGTAAAACCATTCGAATGCGGCTTCCCTCATCAATCAAGGCAGCCAAGCCATGTGGGACTCATGACTGCAGACGTTCGTCGGTTCCGGTCAAGAGCTTGGATGCTGAAAAACACATCTGAACAAGTGAATCTCATCCCGTGGGACCCATCCTCGGATCGAAACCCGCAGCGGAGTTGACCAATCTATATACTCTTTAGAAAGATCGGAGATAAACTGAAAGTTGTGTCTAAAATCTATCTAAACTTATCTAGAACAAATAATCATTACTCTAAAATATATTTAAAATCTCATACACTGCCTCTAAGGGCCAAAACGCAGGTTTTGGCCGTCCAAAACACCCTCTTTCTTCCGGCGCCGGTCGCCCGGCGCCGGGCGCCCGGCCCGGTCGGCCCCCGCCGGCACCGCCGAGCCACTGGCATAGTCCAGGTTCTTGACGTCGAGCATCTGGGGATCCACCCACTGCGCCGCCTCGATCGATAGAGGTGCTGAGTTGGAGGGGACGGTCAGAAGTGCTGACTGAGTTGGTGGTTGGTGTGACAACACATGGAGAGGTGCTGAGTCGGTGTCTCCAAAAAAACAATGGATGGATTTAAAAAGACATCCAAGGAACTCTGGTCACTAGAGTCACTATAGAGGCTTCCATCATCGTATCACATGTGTGTATATATATATATTATACAATATTGAATCCATATGGTAACCATAAGGGGACCCAAACCAATGGCAATATGCTTTAGACCATGTTCACTTTTGTTTGATTTCCCGACGTCCAAAGAGTTTTGCCGGGTCCTGAGTCTGTCAAAACGTCCAGAGGAGGGGATCCCAAACAATTGGTTCACCTGGCAGGGGGTGTAGAAGTTGGAGTGCATTTACAGGTGGTCCTGGGGTAGGTAAAACATGATTCCAGGACCTACTTTCAGCTACTTTCAGGAATCGATCAACGCTTTTGGTGGGGTTTGGTGGAGTACACTTAGCAGCATGTTGCTATTGGCCCTGGAGCCCTGGATTGCCCCCCCAGCAATGAGCCTGTGACAAAAGCCACTCAAAGTACGCAAAGGCAGGGGGATAGTCCAGTGTCCACGGCGAGGTGTCCTCGAAGTACCACTCCTGAGAAGGCAAACAAGATGGAACCCACGAACCCGAAGGCAAACACGTACTCGAAAACAAACACCCCAACAAAACTTTTGACACTCTTGTGGGACATTCTTTTAGGACGCATTCGTTTCGGAAACCTTTGTGGGACAGTCTTGTGCACTCTTGTGGGGCACCTTGTATGACACCCACTCTTGTAGGACACTCTTGTGGGACACTCTGGTATAGCACACTCTCGCACACTCGTGTGGGGGTAGGACACCCTTGCAGGAAAGACGTTCCAGAGGTCCAGAGTTCCAAACATCTTGAGATCCAAACAGGTCTTGAAAGCTTCAGAAGCCTAGAGATCCAGAGAGATCTACAGTGTAGAGGTCTCAGTCTTAGATTGAGAGGGATCAAGAGGCGTAGGTGTTGAGAATGAGAGAGAGATGCAAAGTTCTGGAGGCCTAGAGATCTAGAGGTCTGGAGATCTAGAGGGCTTGACATCCAGAGGTATTCAAGAGCTCTAGAGCTCTCAAGTCTAGAGATCTGGGATGATCTAGGGTTTGAGAGCTCTATAGGGTTTGAGGGGTCTACACTAGTGACGAGAGAGATCTCGGGTTTGAGAGGTCTACACTAGTGACTAGAGGTGTAAAGGTCGAGGAGATCTGTATAAATTGGTTGTAGAAATCTCTAAAGGCCTAGTCCAGGGAGGTCTAGAGATCTACAGGTCTCAAGGTCCAGACACCACACATATGAGAGCATATGAGAGCACATATATGAGAGCGCACACATGAGAGCACATTTGCCGCGCCTGCCACGAAATCTGCATTTCCAGATTCACCCAATGCTCGGCGGTCACATGCGGTCACGTGGACCTCACTTGCGGCTGCCTTCTTCGGCACTTGCGATCCTCAATGAAACCTTTGCTTCCTCGTCAGGTCTGGGGGCGTGGTGGGCACGAAGCTCGTTCGATTGCTTCGATCTCACGCGCTCTCTGTGTCCTCCAATGTAGCGAGTGTGTAGAAGAAGCAAAGCCCGGCCACGCAAGCCCAAAGGATCCTGCTCTGCGAACAGGGGCCTAGCATCCTCCAGCTGGAGTGCACCACAAACACCCAAGAGGGGGCAAGTCATGTCGACCATCCCTGGTTGATAACGTCCCTCTGCCAGGACAGATGCTACCACATCTGAGTAGCCATGGCCTTGTTGAGACGGAATTCAGCTTGCACTGCGCACATTGCAAGCCCTCAAGCCAACTGGGCGCCGTGGATCGACCTGGGCGCCGTGGATCGACCCTGTCTTCCGGTGCCTGGCTCGCGTGGCCGGTCCGACGGTGCATCCACCGTCCGACCCGAGGCCGGAGTCCAGGCGCCGGCGGCCTGGAGTCCACGGCGCGCCACGGACCGGATCTGACTGGGACTGCCAGGTCGGACTGCCTTCGTTTCACGGCCGAGATCTTGGGGGGTGGTGGAGCCGGTCTGACGGCATAGGGGCCGCAGTCCTCTTCCAGCTCCATGGAGTGCTATGGGTTTGGGGCGGCACCCTCTCTTTCCACTTCCATCCTGTCGAGCCTTCGGTGACCTGCGACTGGCTTGCAGCTAAATACTGAACTACCTGCAGTTTGACGGTCATCAGGTGTGTTTGACCCAACCGCACCCAGAAGCCCAACGAAGGAGTCCGACCAACCACACGCAGTTACACGGACTCACATGGACCTACTCCGGATTTCTTGTGGTCATCTGGTGTGCGAAAACGAATCCAGTCATAAGGCCCCCCCGTGACCAGCTTAAGCATCAACAAACCAAGAGATACCCAGTGCATCCCAGGCAAACCACTATTATAATTAGGAACCAGGGGCCCTCGTTCGGTCTATGGTTTGAGTCGTCGAACTGGAAGCAACTGGGACTCCCAACGACCTCATGGGGACTGCCTGGACGCCCTGGAATACAAACGCTTCATGCCTTACGCATCCGGGGGAACCTCTCTCATCCTTCATCCGACTCAGGTGGACTCAGGGGAACCGGTCTTTGGACCAGTGGGACTTCTGGACCAAGCACAGCCGAGCCACAGAGATGGGGAGCTGATGTGTGATCGCCAGCCAATTCCTTCGAACGCGACGTGAACCGCCGCCCTCGGGACGCGGAACCGGCGCGCGCGCGCCACGCGCGCTACGCAACTACTTGGGAGCTCAGTTGGGCATCTCAGGGTCCATGCTACGGTGGAATGCATTCCTAAGACCATCACTGATCCGGACCCAAGCAGCCCGTGAAACCTGCTAGATCACCGGGATCGGAGGAAAACGTTGCATTTATCCCTTGCAAGAACCTCCCAAACAACTAACTTGACTGTTGCGGGTTGCGGATTTTGGGCCCCTTCATTGACCTGTATAGCTCTTTAACTACATCGACAAGCTCTTGAGGGAAACATTGGCCCTTTGAATGTGTTGCTGACCTGATGCTAAAAAGGGGAGCGCAAGCAAGCTGACTTACTGATCTTTCCTTTTTTACCCTTGCCCTGCATCAACTATGTAAGAGGATTAATCTAGATTAATCTTCCGAACCCTGATTTCTGCAACCCACAGCAGTCCCTTCTCTATTAGTAGTGGTTTCAACTCACGAACGAAAATTGATTTGTCAGTGAGTTCAATCATCCCAAGTACAGGTTTGAATATACAAATATCTCCAAATCACCGCCCAGCCCACGGATCCATGTCGCAGCACCTTTGAACAAACGCTTCCATCTGGGACGTCTTCAACCTCTACTGCCCGGTCTTCTTGTGGCTCACTGGTTACCAAGGTGTCTGCCATCTTTCGACCTCAACAAAAACCAAACCCCATGGGATGTGGGAATCACTTCTCCATCTCCTCCCCCCTCGTTTTTGAACCCCGGAAGGGTCGTGGTTTGGAGAAAAACGCGGTCAAAAGTCCGGTGAGCTGAAGTGGAAATGATTCTCTTGAATGGGTATACCATACCCTGGGAGTCAAAGACTATAAAAAGAATGGTCTTTAGGGGACCTGAAAGGGAACTTCCTTTACTTCAGCCGGTCAAAATATAGTCGAAATGGACTTCTAGGGCATAGTATACCTATTCTGAGCCGCGTACTTGTCCTCAAGAGGTCAGGTCTCGTGTCGAACATGCTGAAAAAACGACCTGCTACTGTTCATAATATATAAGTAATTATCATCATTATACTATATCGTATCTGCAGCCCTCGGCCCCCGCCCGGCAGCAAAGAATAAAGTAAAAGCACCTCTCCTCCCCTCCTACCGCAAACCAATCACTTCCTCCCCTCCTACCGCTCACCCCGTCGTGCCGCCGCTTCCGACCCAAGCGGTGGGCGGCCCCGCCGTGCCCCTTCCTCACGCGGGCGATTGCGCGGGTTGCGCAGTCGGGCGGTCAGTCCTGTGCACCTCGAAGTCGGTGGACTTGTAGAGCCCCAAGGGCAGCAACATCCATCGCAGCAACACCGCCAGGACGAGGACTATCATCGCGAGGCCGGAGTGGAGGGTTGGAGATGAAAATGGGGGCGCAGGTCGCGTGTCAAGAGCTGGGCACCCTGATAAACCTGACTTCCTCAACACACATGTCAACCTACCATGGTTTGGTGGGACACTCACCACTGTGGGTTCAGTTGCGGTCTCAGGCGAACTATAGTCACCCCAACACCTGCCAAGTAAAGTTGCCAATTCATCCCAGTGTCCTGCTCCGGCTGCTCATGTTGGACTTTCAAGTCTGGAGCTGTTGCCAGTGTACTAACAGTATTAACATTCCGGGAATCATGCCGTAGCCAGAAAACCATGGTTAAAACATCTTCAAACTCCAAACCATCAAGAACCACGGTCTAAAGGATTGCATCACCGACCCCCCCAAAAAACGGCTACGTGCACGGGCAAAAAAAACACATTAAGGCATACAAATGTTGCACTCAAGGCTCGGCACTGCACCTAAACCGAGGTTATTACATGTATAGTATCGAATAGGACCCTAAATACTGGGACATCGGATAGTCGAACATTCGGGTTCGTCGGCCTCTTGTGGTGACTGTGAATTGGACTTCTTTCACTTGATTGAATAATCCCATACACTCCATGTATGCCATATATGCCGCCCCATTGACCCCCCAAACCACCCCAATGTAGGCATATATGGCATACATGGAGTGTATGGGAATTGTATCTAGTCTGCGAGCCAAACGGAGCAGCGGGAACAGTTGTTCTTTCCACATCGGCTCGCTCCGTAAGTTGGCGGTCGCGAAACTGGATCATCACAGGCGGTCCGGCGCCGGTTCTTCAACCTCCTGAAAATCATTGGACCTCCTCATTCCAACTGCTTCCCTGGCTCCAGTCAACCTAAGCGGCCGGCTAAACCATGTTTGAGCTATACCATGTATTGGCATGCTTTGGGTTGTATAGTTTGTTTTGATGTAGTTTGATGTAGCTTGGTTCTTCTGCAGCAGCCTGAAAACAGCTCGGCCCGCGGCTTCGATCGCTCGCGGCGACTCGCGATCAACGAAGCCTCCGAGCCGAGCTAAGCGCGCTGGCTAGTTTCGCCATTGAAAACAAGCCAGGGTCAAACATGACCAGCATCAGGGACCCGAGGTCAGTCGCACCCCTGGCTTCCGGAAGTTGGACGTCTGGAACAGTGTCGATGATAGCTCAGTCCATCAAAACCACGCCCAATGACTATGCTGGACCAACGCCTCCAGTCCGCATCTCTTTTCCGCCGCATTATCCCTCCACAGGCTCCACAGGCTGCGGAGGAACCTTCCGTGACAGCTCACGCGCGTGACAGGTCGCCTCGCGCGTGACACTCCACGCCTCGTGCAGGGTGTCCGTCCGTGAAGGCCGCCAAACGTCATCCGCACCGTCGTCGACGGTCACTTCGGGCTCTGCCGAGTTCGCCGCCGATGTCGTGGGTCGTGGGTGGCCGGTCCGGACGCTGCGTCTCCGGCGCGGTCAAGGCGTCCCGACGCGGTCGGCGGCTGCGCCGCCGCATCGGACGATGGGCACCGGAGCAAAATCGGGCCGAAAAGGAACGAATTACTACGAGGGTGGTGGTGGCCAGGCGAAGAACGTTTAAAAAAACACAATGCAAGCTATATAAAGCTAAATATATAGATCATATATATCCGATCATATACTTTCCAGTCACTCATCCTCGTGATATGGTGCTGCATTCCACATCCTAGTGTACCAACCCGGTACTGCCGCTCCCTGCCCCCCGTCCCGGCAACGTTGGGCTCGGGGCTTTACATGGGAAGCCATCGGCGGCTGTGATCGGTGGCACACGACGAGTGGACGTGGAGTTCAAACTGCACCACAGGAGACTGGCTTATGTATATATATATATATATAAATACCTAACTGAGCTCTATTTTGGAGGATCAACTCTCCAAAGTACGGCCTTTTGCTACCAAAAAGGATGTCAAATGGGCTCTAATTAGGTATAACAACTGGAACTGCAAGAAACAGAAATCAGCAGATTGTACAGTTGACAAGCCTGTAAGGAGTTGTTATCATCATTTCCAGGGTCACTCACACAACGAGTTCTGGAAATGAGCACCTCTTGAAGTCTTGTGTGCAGGGAGGTGCAACCTTGAAGTCTAGCTGCAGAATTGGTTTGTTCCGTAGAGCCCGGAACTGACAGAACAACGTCATCAACAAGTAAACAAGATCATGGCACATCAAATGTTGCGTTTCATTCTCAACACGTATGCAAATAAGCTTTCGGAAATGATTGTATTGCCTCACATTTATATACAGTATAATAAACGTCCGATTTGTGTGATCTCCACAAGGGCAATGACCTGATCTCAGGTCACCAGGCCATCAGTCAGATCATCAGGTCAGTCCATAGTCAGTCCATAGGTCATGGTCTTTTCCTCATTCCGCGCCATTCTCCCAAGGCTATCCAAGCAAGGCAGCAGAAAGCTATAGGGGGCTGTCCAAGGCCCTTGGGGGACAGCGGCCACAGTAACATGCCAGTCGAATGAATTCCGCGCTCATGATGACATGAGTCCAGCGACCACGAGCCGGGTTTCCAGTGATTCTAGTGCAGCCCTTTCTACAGGGCAAACCCATGCCAACCTCTTCCAAGCTTTTACCCTTATCCTGTACTCATGTTGGTGAGTGCAGCCCTGTGAGAGCTGTTTTTCTTGGGATCACCAATGGGCGCCTGTCCCATGTGTCCTATGGCTTGCCCAAACGCTAGTAGACAAGGTGTGGCCTTGGACGGACGTGGACCGTTGGGGCCTTTCGTCATCTTCGTCCCTTCTTCCTGAGGAAACCAGTACTAACCCATACACTCCATGGGATTGTCATATATGCCTACATTGGGGTGGTTTGGGGGGTCAATGTAGGCATATATGGCATACATGGAGTGTATGGGTAATGGTTTTCCCCGGTCTAAACCTGTCATTCGAGGCCCCTGGTGCTTCAAAGCAACCTAACTTATTTGTGTTTCCAGCCTCTTTAGCTGTGGGTAGGTGTGGGGTAAGTGTAGTATATTATATTAGAACCTATGTTGGGGTCTATGTTGGAACCTATGTTAGCCTATGCATCTTATGATTGAATCTATGTTGAAGCCTGCATGTGAGGCAAACAGTTTAGACTAGGGTGCATTGTTTGTTCGGCACCTTTCGTGGAAGCTATAGGCTATACTATACCATAATTAACCGATCTCCTGGGATTTCGTGGTTACCTAATTTGATATCCTGCTTTGAGGCCGCAAACAAACCAAACTCACAAACAGGACTCCAAAGTTTGGTCGAAACTGAGTACGCAATGGTACGCTCAAACAAGTATGGAAGTGGAACACCGCCTATTTGCCAAACACCGGTTTGGTATGAAGGAAGAGCCACATCTTCCAAATCTGTCATCGGCCCGACGCTGTCATCAGCTCATGAAATGTGCGCAAAAAAAGAGTCGCGCGTGAAGCGACACTCCCTCAGGTCCTCATTGACCACTTGCGGCGAAGCTGGGGGAAGTTCCACTTCGAAGGTTGAACCATCTCGGCATTTTGGTTGTAAGAGGGAGGTCGCCCCCTGGGCCCAATGATTATTGGTCTACTATTCTTCTCCTTCCAATGATCTTTGGGGTGTAAACCAGCTATCACACGATGGTAGAACCAGATTTGGGATGTGGAGGTGGAAGCTGAACTGTTATTGTACTTTCAGCGAGGTGACCCTTCCAGTGGGAAAAGTCTCGATACAAACCAAAACAGAATTATACTACCACCCTCGAAAAAGTCTCCTCAGGAGCGCATCTGGAACCTCAATTTGTATCATCCAACACGCGGACCACTCTGCGTTTTTGATTTTGATGTAGAGTGGCATCCCATAAAAACCTTTGTTGCGTGGGAGGCGCCAAACCTGCGAAAGGCACATGTTGTGGTGATATTGGACTTCCGTAAAACATCTTCTCCGATAAACATGTAGTGATTGAAGTGATTGCAGGGAATTACTGTACATGTGGTGAAATTATATAAGATCTTCTCCGCACATGTCGAACGACGAAACCTGGAAAACGGGTGCCGCAAGTTCCGCCAGGCGGGGTCCCGCCGCGTTCGTCCGCGCGGTCTGCGACGTCGTCGGCGTGAGTTCTGAAAGTCTCGGGCACCTAAGCAGCACGAAAGCGTGATCCAAAGCACCTGATCATCTGAGCATCTTTCCAGCAAAAAACATGCTATAAAGGTATGTTGTGGCCCCTTTTTTGCGGTGAACCTGGTTCTGTCATCAAGTCAGTTTTAAAACCATTCAAACCCAAACCATCATTAACCCTGTAAATAACATTATGTGAAAAAAACATGAAACATCACACCAATGTGGGCAAAGTATTCAATACGTTAGGTTACAAAGGGAAGAACCAAAACCCGCACCAGTAGTCGAGTAGTCGAAAATTCCAAGCAAATGGCCGTGGCCTGCTGACAAGTGATCTGCAGATTGGTTCACATGATTCATCCACAAAGAACAACAAACGTCACTGCGAAGCCAACGTGTCGAAGACCGAACCTGGTGGGCGGTGAAAAAGTGGTCGTCCCTTGGTCACCTGTGACCTCAATGGCAATAATGACGTCTTGTCAACCGTCCTTCACTAATGAATCATCATCTTTCTCACCATCGAACACGCCTCCAACTGTGTTTCTGGAGAAACAATTGGTGTCTCGGCCACATGGCTACACAAAAGATCACAAAAGTGTCAAGTTCATCCTCCAAAACAAGGAAAGTAAACCAACACCTGCATGCGCAACACTTTTTGATCTACATCCCACATGATTGGCCAAGAACTTAACAAAGAATCGTCCGCATGAGTCTTGGCACACTGCTCCAATCATCAGAAGTTGACAACAACATGCCAAACAATCCAAACACAACCTAATTAATCCTAATGAAACACACTACTACTACAGGATAGCAGTTCGGGTGCCCGAGCACCACGCCACTCCGGATCCAAGGCACTAGTACCGCCCCGGCTCTCCGACGCCGTCCGTCCCACGCGGCCGCGGTGACCGCCGCCC